CCTTCTATTTCTTTCCTTCCCCCCTTGTCCTTCCCTCCTTCCTTCCTTCCTATCTCATGCAAGACAATTGTATAGCTATGTATGAATATCTTAACTTACTGTACTTCTATTTTTTTTCTTGCTAAATTGTACAACAATGAAGCCTTACAAGAAGCAGCTCAGACTATAGAAATGAGGGGGGTTGTGGGCGGGTTGCAGGGTGGTCTAAAAATGTCCAGCTGACAGGCACAGGTGGTACCCATAATCTCAAGTTTTGGGGGGGCCTTCCTGTGGATATCCTTGAGATGGTACCACGAAGTTGGATGTTCATAATAGGGTTTTAGAAGGTACGAATTTTCAAAGAGCAGCATTTAAAATTGTATCTGGGGGACATCAGGATACGGCTTCCTGGCATCCATCGAGTTTGCAGGAGCTGAAATTTGTAAATCTTACTTGGTGAGACATGTCACTGCCATCAAGGTATAATTAAACACGTGATCAATATGGGTCCAGGACCTTCACGACATTCCCAGAACAGAATTAACTGTTTCTCCAAATCCACCTGAGTTATTGTCCATGTGCAAACGTAGTTTTGATTAGAGTTTGGATCAGCTGCTAAAAAAACTAATCAGGGTTAAAACTATGTGTGTTGTGCAAATGCAGAGTCACTCATTCTTTCATCGATCTGGTTACGCATGTTGTGTGAAGCCCTATCAAGTTAGCCTCTTTGCCTTTTACAGTTTCTTGTCTTGTTTAGCGACGATTCAGAGCTGCTTTTCTTTTGGTTGTGCTGTTCGGACCAAGGTTCCTTGAGACAGTAACAATCACACGCTGTTCCCAAAAACCTTTTGTTCTGTTTCAACGGCTGTGAATTATATGCATTCACAGCCCATAATGACAATTTGTGAATAGTCCAACAGAAGTCTGCCGCTTTCCTTCAGAATAAGGCTGATAAGCACCCACCTTGCCAATTAGCTGTACAAGGCCAAACGGAGCACAAAGTCAACATGGAGCTTCAGAATTTAAATTGACCAGAATGAACAAAGTTGCTTCCTGCAAAGACTCCTGTCTCTTTGCTCCTCCTTTATGTCTTATGCGAGGGGCCAATCATCTCCAAGCCTTACTGCCAGGTTGCTCCTTTTGTCTTAACTGTTTTTGCCTTCTGGCAGCTCTGTGCAAGCGCACACTGGGAATAGGCTCCCGCTATTCCTCTGCCTCACTGATGTCAGATTCTGGAGGCTCCGGAGTCTGCATATAATTCTCTGATGGCCCTGGCCCCATCTTTGTGTCGGATGCAGATCCCTCGTCCATGCCATCCCCTGACTCCAGGACTGGGCCATGTTCCTCCTCACTGTCTGACTCTGCTGCCAGCTCTGTAGGCCGCTACCACATGTGCATGAAGGTTGGCCAGATGGGGTCCTTGCTTCTAAAGGAGGTTCTTTACCTGGTCTTTGAGATATCTGATGTCTCTTGGGTTTCTCATCTTCTTTCTGCAGAGAACTGACCTTGGATGAGCCCCCTCACACCTGCTGGAGTGGAATATGTGGCTATCCCCAATTGGTGTCCCAGGTCCATGTCATCTCGGCTTCCGGGCTGAAGAACCAAGGCTCTGAAGGTGACAATATTGGTTTCAATCCAACCATGATCAAAGAGAAAGGAAACCAGGAATTTGGTGTCTTATCCTAAGTCAGTGTTTCTCAACCTTCTTCACCTGAAGATTGGTGGACCAACTTCCAGAATTCTGAGGAATTCTGGGAGTTGAAGTCCTCCCATCTTCAAGTCAGAAGAAGGTTCAGAATTCTGGGAGTTGAAGTCCTTCCATCTTCAAGTTGTTAAGGTTGAGAATTCTGGGAGTTGAAGTCCTTCCATCTTCAAGTCAGAAGAAGGTTGAGAATTCTGGGAGTTGAAGTCCTTCCATCTTCAAGTCAGAAGAAGGTTGAGAATTCTGGGAGTTGAAGTCCTCCCATCTTCAAGTTGTTAAGATTGAGAATTCTGGGAGTTGAAGTCCTTCCGTCTTCAAGTTGTTAAGGTTGAGAAACATTGTTCTAAGTAGTTGAAACATCTGATAGTGGAAGAGGAGGAGGAGAAGTGTGGAGTCCTTAGTGTTCTCTGAAATTGGCTGTTTTCTTGCAGACGTCTCATTACCCAGCTAGGTAACATCCTCAATGCTAGGGGTGGGCTTTTCTCTTTGCAAGCAAACTTCTTGTATATAAACAGAGAGCAAACCCCACTCCCTTCTAGCATTGCTGTCATGTCCCTGTCGGAATCTGATTCGGAGGGGGAGGCTGAGTAGCTGACAGGGAATGGGAGCCAACTCTGTTGGCTGTGGAAGAAACTGGGGAAGGGCAAAGTCCGGCTGGGCAGAGCAGGGGAGAGGTAGAACAAGGGAGAGGGAGTTCAGAGGAAGACCCAGGCCCACCCCCTCTTCGTCCTAGGGCATGCAAGGAAGAACAGAGAAGGGAGCAACGTGAGTTGCATGGCTTACGGGGGAGGAAAGGGCCCTGATTCCCTTCATTAGCTGCAGCTGGGAACACACTGTTTAAAAGGGAAGCTGGTGCAGCAAACTGTTGGGAGCAAATTATGAATTTATCTGGTATCTTCGAGGCTTATCTGTGTTCCTGGCATCTTTCCAACTCTGTGAGTTTTGTCATGCTTTCAAGCCTGAAGTTTCTTCTCCTGTCAAGTTAATTACCTCAGCTTGGTTTGTTTGGGTTTTTGGTTACAGTCTGTATGTAGCTGGTTTTGGACTGAATTTTCTCCAGTCAAAGGCTGTTCCTGGGAGAGTTTTTCTCCAGCCCAGAAGGACACTGGGGGCAAAGTTGGAGATAATAAAGGGACTCTTATTGCTTATTTGACTGTGTTGCCTTTGTGCCACACCCCAGGTCATCACACATTGAGGTTATTACTTAATTGGGTCATGAAATGTCCGCAATAAAACATTTAACCTCAGAGAGCACCAAGAACCCCACAGTTCAACCCCGAGCTACAAATATTATGTTCTATTGGTGGAATTTCTCATAGTAGTAGAAGAAGCTTGGTCGAAAGTCATAATAGAGATATTTGGAGGATTTTGGAAACGGGTCAGACAATGCGGCAAATAATCGAATTTTAAGGAAGGAATTAAAAGAATCAAAAAGACAAGACAGCTTCCTTAAGGGGAACAAGAAACACGGGTTGACAATTCCTTTTTCTCCGCTTGTGCCTCAGGAGTGGATCCCTACGTGATCATAAAGTGTGAAGGGGAGAAGATCCGATCACCAGTCCTAAAGAACACGATGGCGCCAGAATTTGACGTAAAAGGACTTTTCTACCGCAAGAAACCAAGACAGCCAGTCATAATTCAGGTAAAGCCGAAAGAGTCGCTTTGGACAGTGAGATGAACAACATAAAATAAAATATAAAATAAATAAAAACATAAAATAAAATAAATAAAATGTAAAATAA